GGGGGGGGGGGGGGGGGGGGGGGGGGGGGGGGGGGGGGGGTCCCCTCTTTTCCAAAACAGTGCACAGGGCTCAAGTATGAAAAAATTCTAAAAATTGAATTAAATTAAATTAAATTTAAAAAAGACCCAAATGGAGGGAAAACTAATTTGGGGCCAGGGTCATACCTTATGTTTGCGTCTGTAATATTTTGACGCTGAACTTAACCTGTTATATACTGGGGTATTATTCCTGATCTAGTTTGCAAAGCAAACAAAAACGATAAGGAAAAAGACTGTCAAATGCCAATAGAGTTGTTATTCGATACTTGACGTAGAGTAGTTTCCCATTCAGAAACAAGGAAGAAGTAGCGGTACAGGGGAAACCCCACTGAATCGTTATCGATTTATTTTTGGAGTTAAAGCATTGCTTCTGCTGAAGAAATAATTTTGAATAGCTTTATACGAGTTCATCTTTACCTTGTTGATGTATTAAGTGTTATTTTCACGTCAGATACTCTCTTTTTATCTATCCCCTTCGTATTTCAGTGGCAAATTAAAGTTGTTACAGGGATTACGACCAAACCAAAATAAACTTTTTCTATATATCATAACTAACGCTATACAACTTCACTCGTTTTTAGACAACTTAAACTATACAATTGTTAAGTATTTTTTTTTAGTTTCCTTTTTGTACTAAGACTTCATTTAATTCCTATTGGTCTTCGTGTATAATTTTCCTTGAAACTTTAAAAAATGTAACTTCGTAACACATCATACATATTGTTTAAATAGTTTAAATGTTCTCCTTCGCCAGGATTTCTTTAAAAATTGATTAATTGTTTGTCACAATCTTCACTTTGCGAAACAGTAGACAAATTTTGGATATTGTCGGGGGGAGGGGGGGTATTGTCGGGGGGGGGGGGAATCTCTGCCATTTCTCCCTTCCTTGTCAATCTTAATCGCTCCAAATTGTGTAACATATGATTGTGACCGTGAGCTTCACGATTTGCTGGGGGGGGGGGGGGGGAATGGNTTGCCATTTCCACATCATGGCTAACTTTTACCAGCAGACTCTGAGCTTTCAAATGATATATAATTCAGGTCTGTGTATAAAAGGGACACTAAACTCCTTAAATAAAGCACTTTTTGGGGTTTTGCCGCTCACCTATTAACCTGTTATATACTGGGGTATCATTCCTGATCTAGTTTGCAAAGCAAACAAAAACGATAAGGAAAAAGACTGTCAAATGCCAATATAGTTGTTATACTTGACGTAGAGTAGTTTCCCATTCAGAAACAAGGAAGAAGTAGCGGTACAGGGGAAACCCCACTGAATCGTTATCGATTTATTTTTGGAGTTAAAGCATTGCTTCTGCTGAAGAAATAATTTTGAATAGGTTTATACGAGTTCATCTTTACCTTGTTGATGTATTAAGTGTTATTTTCACGTCAGATACTCTCTTTTTATCTATCCCCTTCGTATTTCAGTGGCAAATTAAAGATGTTACAGGGATTACGACCAAACCAAAATAAACTTTTTCTATATATCATAACTAACGCTATACAATTTCACTCGATTTTAGACAACTTAAACTTTTTTTTTAGTTTCCTTTTTGTACTAATACTTCATTTAATTCCTATTGGTCTTCGTGTATAATTTTCCTTGAAACTTTAAAAAATGTAACTTCGTAACACATCATACATATTGTTTAAATAGTTTAAATGTTCTCCTTCGCCAGGATTTCATTAAAAATTGATTAATTGTTTGTCACAATCATCACTTTGCGAAACAGTAGACAAATTTTTTTTTTTTTTGGGGGGGGGGGGATCTGTGCCATTTCTCCCTTCCTTGTCAATCTAAATCGCTCCAAATTGTGTAACATATGATTGTGACCGTGTGCTTCACGATTTGCTGGGGGGAGGGGGGGGATGCAAGGTAAATGATATTTTGCCTCGCTCCGCTCGGTTTATGTAAAACAGTGCACGATCACCAACTAGTATGTAGAGATCAGGGATGAAAAGCTTCTTTTGATTTGTCTACTTTTTTCCATTTATTTTTCTTTGAAGGAGGGGGGCAGTGAAAGAATGAGAAGGGTTATCTTCTATGAAAAGGTGTCCCCTGCGCCCCCACCCCCACGGGATTGTATTTTACTGCATTCAAACGGGTTATCCTGGTCCCAGTTTCACAAAAAAACTTGTAGATTGGTGGTAAAAAAAACTGAATGATTCCTACTCAAAGCTATTGATACTGATTCTGCACGCACTGAATTAAAAACCTAGTCAACCTCAAATATTTTTTTTTCAAGAGAGCTATGAAAAAAAAAAAAAAAAAGAACTGCGCGAATCCTTCATAATATTGTTTTATTATCAACAGGAAGTATGGGGTTTTGGAAAGAGAGAAAATCGCTGCTAGAAAAGAAAATTGCTTTTCAAAAGTAATAGCTTAGTTTTTGTCCATGTCTACAGCAGAAACCACGTAGCTTGACTCTATTGGTTTTCATCACTGGGTCTTTGGGGTGGCGAGTTTGTCACTGTCATCACCATCGTAACATCCTTGACGACTCACTGCGTAGGCTACCAGTAGATAGTCCAGCCAATGTCATGGAGATAGATTTATCCTACAATCGAATCATGAGGATAAGGCTAGGTAATTTTGCTCATCTTCGTAATCTTAGTCGCCTAGACCAGTCGGACAAACGCATAGGATTACTGAAGTTAGGTGCATTTGTAGACGTCCTATCCCTATCTACGCATGTTGAATCTTCGATCTAACTACTTACATAAGAATTACGAGTCAATTTCCTCGGGGTGTTTTCACAAACCTGTCAATTTTTATTTTTATTTACTGAAGGGGGGCATATTTTAATAGTTCTGCGACTAAATTATTTTTAGGTGAACATCTTCCGCGTTTTACCCTACGCTTTAACAATGGATTTATTATTCCTGACAAGTGAAGCTTCATGGCGGGGAAATCCCCAATCATTCCTTTTTTAAACAGTTTGATTATGTAAGTACTTTATTGGTTATCTTAGTGGTTTCTTTTTTATCTAAGAGGAAGCAGAAGTGACAGCGATAGTAGTGAGTCAACCTATCTCTTTTTCAGCAGTGTTGAAAGACATTGAAATTGATTATCCACTTTCAAACATTTAAACTTTGTCAGCTTAAAATTCTCTTCTTTTATTCCTTTATTAACACTTGAAATATTGGAAACGCATTCGTTAGCTAAACTCTGCTATAAAAGAGAATCGCTTTTCAAAAGGAAATAGTTTCTGACAAACTCGACACACTGAGCATGTTGTGTAAAAATTTGACTCTGTTGGTTCTCATCACTGCTTCTTTGGGGTGGCGAGTTTGTCACAGTCATCACCACTGTACCATACGTGACGACTCACTGCGCCGGAAAGTCCTCTACAACTGCTCGGATAGTAAGCTGTACGGCGTACCAATGGATATTCCAGCCAATGTCACGGAGATAGATTTATCCTACAATCGCATCACAAGGATAAGGTCGGGTAATTTCGCTCATCTTCGTAATTTAAGTCGCCTAAACCTGTCGGACAATCGCATAGGATCACTGGAGTTGGGTGCATTTGTAGACGTCCCTAATTTACGCGTGTTGAATGTACGATCTAACTACTTACGCATGGATTACGAATCATTTCCCCGAGGGGTTTTTAAAAATCTGCCCCAATTACAATGGTTAGACCTAAAAAACAACACCAACCGTTACCCAAAACCTAACGAAAACTACCCTGACGCAGCCTTCAAAGACCTGACGGGTTTAAAAGAACTATATCTGGACGGACTAAATATGGAGAATTCTGTTTTGGGGCCTGGATTCGCTTCTCTTAAAACGTTGCGTTTATTGGATTTTTCTGGAGATGACGGACCTTGCAGCCTAAAGAAGTTAAGCAAAAATGTTTTTTACAATTTACGTTATTCCCAATTGGAGCATCTCGATCTAGCGTTTTGTGAACTGTATAAAATCGATAACTTAACATTTAGTTTTCTACCAACGATCAAGACTCTTGATCTTTCAGGTAACAAATATCTTGGATTAAAAAGACTTGGAGGTGTCTTTTATGGACTACAAAATTCGTCTTTAGAGCGGCTGATATTAAATGCAACAACGTCTCCAGAAGATAGAACTTACATGTTGAACAGTAGCCGTGTTTTTCATTATCTCCAGAACATTACAACATTAAAACATTTAACTCTCGACTCTAATTACATATCGGACATTGATATCAACATGCACGTGTACGTGGAACATTTAGAAACTCTCTCGATTTCAGACAATAACATCATTAATGCGCTAAAGCCAGCGATTGACTTTAGCCATTTGCAGCACCTGAAGTACCTCAACTGGAGCTGGACATCTAGCTCTAAACCTGTGGTACATTTCAAACAGCAATTACGACTTGAGGAGTTCGAGTTTAATCTTGCTGGACCACCGAATTTAGAGGCAGCCGATTTTAATAACAACAGATTAAATTATCCGCTCAACCACATAATTGTTCATAATGCTACGTCTCTCAAGTTTCTAAACTTATCAAATGATAATTTGTATAAATGGAACGGACCATTGGAAGTAGTTGATAACTCGTTTCAAAGGATGCGTACTCTCGACCTTTCAGGTAACGGCTGTTCAAAAATCAGCGAGACGTTCTTATATAATCTTTCTACAATTCAAAATTTACATCTGCAGAACAATAAACTCGGACATTCTGACACTATAAGAAATGGTTCATACTTAAGTCCTTTTCGGTGGCTCGTCAATTTGACTTACGTGGATTTATCTTCCAATGAAATGGAAAAGGTATCCCCAATTTTGTTCAACAATAATACAAAACTAGAGACAGTGGTATTGAGAAACAATTATCTTTCTTCGGAAGGATTAACTTTAAACCTGAATAACATATCTTTCTTGGATCTCGCACACAATAATCTGGACTCTCTGAATGCCAAAGTGAGATCTGTATTAGACGACGTTCAATCCCGCGAAAGATTGGCAGATGTGGTCGTAAATTTGGCGGAAAATCCGTTGCAGTGCATTTGTGAAAATGAACAATTTTTCGTCTGGATGCAAACAACAAAAATACATTTTGTCGATCAAGATGACTATCAATGCACCCTAAAGAATGGAAGCATCGTTAGTATTAAACAACTTGATGCAATCGTTGGACATTTGAAAGTCATTTGTGCTTCTCAATTTATTTTGACACTCGTGTCAGTTATTGTTTCACTGGTAATCGTTATCATTATCGCCTTTGCAGTATATTACAGATACAGGTGGGAAATTAAGTATTTCTTTTACAAATTACGAATCAGACGCAAGGAATACGAAGAGGTTCACGGAGATGATAGGCATCAATATGACGCTTTTGTGGCCTTCAGCAAGGAAGACTACAAGTGGGTGTACAGACAACTGCGACCCAATCTAGAAGACGCAGAAGCCGAGGAAGACCGTCTCCGTTTATGTCTTCATCATCGTGACTTCCTACCCGGTGAAGACATCGAGGAAAACATTATCCAATCCATCTCACAAAGCAGAAAAACAGTTTTAGTTATAACCCGAAATTTCGTGCGTAGCAACTGGTGTTACTTTGAAATGAAAATGGCGCGCATGCGTTTGTTTGAAGAGGGTAAAGACGTTCTTGTTCTAGTTTTGTTAGAGGACATCCCATTTCGTGAAATGAATGACACTTTGTTTCATTTATTTAAATCAAAAAGTTATTTGGAATGGTCTGACAACCAAAGAGATCAAGACCTGTTTTGGAAAAAATTAAGAATGGCACTCAAAAGAAACAAGGGCGTCGTTTAAAGCACGTTTGAAGCTCGGCGTATATATTCAAGCATTTAGCGATGCGTCGTTACTTGAAAGATATTCATATCTTCATATTCTGCCCCCTGTTGATAGATAGATGGAGAGGTAGGTGGATGGATCAAACAAATTCAAGCTCATTGATTACATTTTTGTAATACCAAAAATGGTGAGAATGTACTTTCTGCCAGAGGTTATCTGTATATGTTTTTTCCTCCCTAGAGAGAAATGTGCACAGAATTAACTTGAGAAATATTTGTGAATAGATTCTGAAAAAAAAAAAAAAAAACTCACGTGGCCCTGGTAGGGTATACTGCAATGTATTATAAATTTAGTGACATAATTTTTGCGATTTAAAAAGAAAAGTTAAGATTGGTACTTAAAACAGAACGACTATTTCTGAAATATTGAGCATATTCAACCTTTTACTGATGCATGTGTCGGTTATTGGGTAGATCTCTCTTCCTACAAAGACAGACTCCTTATTTAAAATGTTAAATATGTAACAAATGGTATGCGCACTGATTGCATTTCCGTCACTTAATAATTTTTTAAAAATGTACTCTATACAAAAATTTCCACGGAATTAACAAGAAGAATATTTGTAAATACATTTGGAAAAAAGATCAGTGTGGTCCTGATAGGGGAAAATGCAATGCAATACTGCAATGTTTTACTTATCCCAGCACAACTTGATTTAAGACAACTCTAACTATGTAGATTTTTTTGCCTAAGCTAGGATTTTTTATTTATTTATTTTTTTGAAAATCCTGATTAAATTTTGTATATAATTTTCGTTTATACTTTTTTAAATATAACTTCTTCGTAACTATTTACGTTATAAGCCCCTACATAATGTTTAAACAGCAGTTAATATGGTCTGTCTTTTTCCTAAACCCAACTGATGAATTAATTATAACTGGGAAGTAGGTCTAAATGTCGGGAAATCCCCTCTCTTTTCTTTTCTTTATTTTTTTTATCACAATGAGTTTCGATTATACACGTATCGTATTGCTTCCTTTTTTATCTAAGAGGAAGCAGAAGTGAAAACAATAATATTGAGTCAACTTATCTGTTAGCGGCCTGCTTTATTTTTGAGCTTACCTTTTTGTACTAGGATTTTTGAAAATTCTGATTTATCTTCGTGTATAATTTTCCTTTCAACTTTTAAAAATATAACTTCGTAACACATCAAACATGTACATATTAAATGGTTTAAATGTTCTCCTTTGCCAGTTTTTTAAACGTTTGTCACAATCTTTACTTTGCAAATCAGTACACAAACTTCAGATATTGTCGGGGGGGGGGGGGGGGGGAAGGGGGGGGCATCTCTGCCATTTCCCCCTTCTTTGTAAATTTGAATCTCTCCATATTGTGTAACATATGATTGTGGCCATGTACTTTGCAATTTGTATTTATAGTAAATTTATAATCAAACCAAGAAGTTATATTTTACCGCTTAGCTTGAAAATTTTATTAGTAATTTAAGTAGAGCATCTGTTCATTATATAAAGATATATATTTGTTCATTCACAAAATGGTAAGACACAATTACCAATTAGAGAATGGTAATGCACCAATTGTACTGTTGTAATTATATAATATTGTATAAAGTCATGATTATATGTGTACCAGTACAGAAATAAATTCAATTGAATTGAATTGATGTACTGTGGAAAAAATCACAGCGAGTTTCGATTATATACATATCCCATTCGTTATCTTATTAGTTTCTTTTTTATCTAAAAATGAAGCAGAAATGGAAGCCTAAGTGAAAGCAATAGTAGTGAGTTTACTTGTCTGCCATCAGTCTGCATTCAATGTTACCGCAATGTTTAAAGACATAGGAGGGGTGAATATTTGAACATCCACCTTAAAAAATTTGTCGACCTGTAAAATGAATAATATTTGGCATTCGAGATCACGTTGGGAGATACAGTATGCACTGGCGGATACAGAATATTGCTGGGGGGGGGGGGGGGGTGCAAGGAAAATGAAATAAAAATATTTTGCTTCGCTCCGCTTGGTTATTGTAAAACAGTGCACGATCACAATTTACTTCTTTGTAGAGCACAAGGACGAAAAACTTCTTTTGATTTGTCGGGAGGGCAGGGAAAGAGTGGGTTATCTCCAATGAAAAGGGAAGGATGCACGTGTCTGTTGTGCTCCCCTGCACCCCCGCCTCAACGGAAATATTCAAACGTGTCATCCTGGTCCCAGTTTCACATTAAAAAAAACCTTAAGTCAACTTTCCTGACTGAGAACTCGGTTACCAACGTTACATGGTCACATGCACACACCTTACCCTATCTGGAACAGTGTTACAGCGCTCTCATCGAAATCCTAGTCAACTAAGCAGGAGAACTGACTTGCGTTTTTTTTTCAGTTAATCAATTAATTAATTAGTTTTTTATGAAACTGGTGACTGATCATAGTTTTCAATTGAGTACCTAAAGATATTTTTCTCATTCGACATTTCAAGTTGAGTACATTTGTGGATTGGTGGTGATAAAAAAAAGGGCTGACTCCCATTCAAAGCTATTGATGGACTGATTCCTCAGGCATTGAATTGAAAACAGTCAACCTCGAATATTCTATTTTCACAAGAGCCACGAAAAAAAAAATTGCGCAATTCCTTTATAATATTCTTTTATTATCAACAGGAAGTATGGGTTTTTGGAAAGAGAGAAATCGCTGCTTGCAAAGAAAATGCTTTTCAAAAGTAAAAGTGTAGTTTTTTTGTCCAAATCTACAGCACTGAGCACTTTGCGTGCCTGTAATGGTTCTCATTACTGGGCTGGCGAGTTTCTCACAGTTATCGCCACTGTACCATCCATAACGACTAAAACAATGGATTAATTATTCCTGTCAAGTTAGCTAAATGGCGGGGAATTCCCACACCTTCCTTTTTTAAATGGTTGGATTATACACGTGTTTTTAATCTTAGAGGAAGCAGAAGTGACATCGATAGTAGTGAGTCAACTTATCTATTTTCAGCAGTGCTGAAAGAGATGGAAATTATCCACTTTTAAACATTTAAACTTTATCAACTTGAAAAATGAGTAATATTGGATATTGGAATTGAAAATCAGGTCTGAAGATACATAGTACTCTTGCGGATCCTAAATTCTGCTAGTGTGTGTGGGAGGGTTAGGGGGTGGGGAGTACAAGGATGGGACCCCCCCCCCCTCTTCGCTTGGAAAATGTAAAAGAGCACCCGTAGACAATTGTACTGTATACATGTACAGCTCAAGGAAGGAAACTTTCTCTCGTTACTGTGTTGTTTTTCTCCTTTGAGGGGTGGGTGGGGGGGGGGGGGCAGAAAAGGTTGAATAGGGTATCTTAGTTGCAAAAGGAAGGAGTTTCCATCATGCTGTCACCGCCATGTGACATTATACCTGGTCACTGAATCATAGTCCGCCTCCCCAGCTCCCTCCCCTCCCTCTTTGACGAGCTACAATTTTTGTTTGTTTTAATCGTGATGCACTTATTTTATGCTAATCACTGGCTTATCAATCACCCAACTCGCTTTTGATACAAAACGTCGCCCTGTTTGGTATCGGTTTGTTTATGCACCTATTGATTCAATTTCATTTTTGTCTGGTAAATCTAAGTTAATTCTTCTGTAGCTTTTGACAAATGAATTTTCATTAATTTCAGTTTTGCTATCAGTAGCGCACATGATATTGATATTTGTCACAGGTTCGTGAGTCTGACTTCCACCTTTCAATTGCTTATTTACATAAAACAAACTACCTTTGCTGATAAGATAACGTAGCCTACTGCAATATAAGAAAAGGATCGCTCGTTGAAAACGAGATTTCTGTCACACTCTACGACATTCAGCATGTTGTGCCGACTCGTAATTGTGCTAGTTTTCATCACGATGTCACTGGCTTGGCGACCGCATCATACTTACCATAATTGTTCCATTCACATTAACCCACTGAGCCAAGATGTCATCTACAACTGTTCGGGTAAGAAGCTTCACGGCGTTCCAACTGACTTCCCAGCCAATGTCACGGCGATCGATTTATCGTACAATCGAATCTCAAGGATAAGGTCGGGTAATTTCGCCCATCTTCGTAATCTTAATCGCCTAAACCTGTCGGACAATCGCATAGGATCACTGGAGTTGGGTGCATTTGTAGACGTCCCTAATTTACGAGTGTTGAATCTACGATCTAACTACTTACACATGGATTACGAGTCATTTCCTCGAGGTGTTTTTAAAAACCTGTCCCAATTACATTGGTTAGACCTAAAAAACAACACCAACCGTTACCCGAAACCTAAAGAAAACTATCCTGACGCAGCCTTCAAAGACCTGACGGATTTAAAAGAACTATATCTGGACGGACTAAATATGGAGAATTCGGTTTTGGGACCTGGATTCGCTTCTCTTAAAACGTTGCGTTTATTGGACTTTTCTGGAGATAACGGACGCTGTAGCCTAAAGAAGTTAAGCAAAAAGGTTTTTTACAATTTACGTTATTCCCAATTAGAGCATCTGGATCTAGCGTTTTGTGAACTGTATAAGATCGATAACTTCACTTTCAGCTTTCTACCAACGATCAAGACTCTTGATCTTTCAGGTAACAAATATCTTGGATTAAAAAGACTTGCAGGTGTTTTTTATGGATTGCAAAATTCATCATTAGAGCGACTGATATTGAATGCAACAACTTCTCCAGAAGATAGAACTTACATGTTGTACAGTAGCCGTGTTTTTCATTATCTCCAGAACATTACTACATTAAAACATTTAACTCTCGACACTAATTTCATATCAGATCTTGAACCAAACACGCACGTGTACGTGGAACATTTAGAAACCCTCTCGCTTGCTGACAACACATTCCTTAACGCACTCAAGCCAGCGTATGACTTAAGTAATTTGCAACACCTGAAGTACCTCAACTGGAGCTGGACATCTAGATCTAAACCTGAGGTACAGTTTAAACGGCAATTCCGACGTGGGGAGTACACATTTAATATTGTTGGGCCCCCAAATTTAGAGGTAGCCGATTTAAATAACAACAAATTACAATATCCGCTCAACCACATTATTGTTCATAACACTAAGTCTCTCAAGTTTCTAAACTTATCAAACAATAATTTCTATCAATGGAATGGACCATGGGAAGTAGTTGATAACTCGTTTCAAAAGATGCGTACCCTCGACCTCTCAGGTAACGGCTGCTCAAAAATCAGCAAGACGTTCTTATATAATTTTTCTACAACACAATTTTTACATCTGCAGAATAATAAACTCGGACATTCTGACACTATAACAAATGGTTCATACCCAAGTCCTTTTCGGTGGCTCGTCAATTTGATGTACGTGGATTTATCTTCCAATGAAATGGAAAAGGTATCCCCAGCTTTGTTTGACCGTAATACCAAACTAGAGACCGTGGTATTGAGAAACAATTATCTTACTTCGGAAGGACTAACTTTAAACCTGAAAAACATATCTTTCTTGGATCTCGCCTACAATAAACTTGACTCTCTGAATGCCAAAATGAGATCTGTATTAGACGACGTCCAATCCCAAGAAATATTGGCAGATGTGGGCGTAAATTTGGCGGGAAATCCGTTGCAGTGCATTTGTGAGACTGAACAATTTTTCGTCTGGATGCAAATAACAAAAGTGCATTTTGTCGATCAAGATGACTATCATTGCACTCTAAAGAATGGAAGCATCGTTAGTATAAAAGAACTTGATGCAATCGTTGGATATCTGAAAGTCACATGCGCTTCTCACCTTACTTTGACCCTGGTGTCAATTCTTGTTTCACTCGTTATTGTTACTGTTGTGGCGTCTGCGGTATATTACAGATTCAGGTGGGAAATTAAGTATTTCTTTTATAAATTACGAATAAGACGCAAAGAATACGAAGAAGTTCGCGGGGATGATAGGCATCAGTTTGACGCCTTTGTGGCCTTCAGCAAGGAAGACTACAAGTGGGTGTACAGACAACTGCGACCCAAGCTAGAAGACGCAGAAGCCGAGGAAGACCAACTCCGTTTATGTCTTCATCATCGTGATTTCCTACCTGGTGAAGACATCGAGGAAAACATTATCCAATCCATCTCACAAAGCAGAAAAACAGTTTTGGTTATAACCCGAAATTTCGTGCGTAGCAACTGGTGTTACTTTGAAATGAAAATGGCGCGCATGCGTTTGTTTGAAGAGGGTAAAGACGTTCTTGTTCTAATTTTGTTAGAGGACATCCCATTTCGTGAAATGAATGACACCTTGTTTCATTTGTTTAAGTCAAAAAGTTATTTAGAGTGGTCTGAACGCGAAGATGAGCAGGATTTATTTTGGAAAAAGCTAAGATTGGTCCTGAAAAGAAAGAGCAACTGTTAGTTGTTTGAAAGTGTTGGTGACACAGAATGGCCTTTTTACCAGCAGAACATGCACCTTATTTATTTAGCTGATTCTCCATGTAATATCTGCTTTGGTCTACTTCGTTTTGAAATAAATTGGAATCGAGTGACTTATTTGCGTTCGCTGCATTGATATTGATTGTGCTGGGTTGCGTTAGTGGATGGGCATTTCTCAACTAACGCATTATAAGTTGGACTCCCATACGTTCAACGCTTATTTCGGATTTTCAAAATATTTGTACGGGGAAGGGGAGGGGGAAATCAAACATGAAAGCTCAGTCAATAACTAAAATAATTAGTAAAGATAAAAAACTGTAAAATAATAAATTGAATGCGAGATAATAGTGCACGTTGTGGGCCTATATATAGTTAAAAAGGTATTAGTTTTCCTCATCATAATCTTTATATGGCAGGGCGGAAAAGTCCTATATTTTACTCGCAAATCTGTCATAAAAGCAGACGTTTTGCATTTTTTTAATCGGAGTTTTAATATCTTTTAACTGATTGAGATTCGCCATCATTTTTTGTGAGAGAACAATTTCAGAGTTTCCCAATAGAAGGCGCTACAAATGTCTACCTTGCGTCTCTTAGAACGCGAAGCATATTGATCCGTGTGGTAGATTCATCAGTTGATCGCTGTCGAGACAGTATTAATAAATGATGCTCTATTGCGTTCTGTTATCACGTGAAGACGCTTTGTATAGCAACCTCCTAGAAATAACATACACTCAGCGGGCGAGCAATGCCATGAGAAATAAGTAAGAGGCATCAAATTACCCGATTGATCAAAAATAGAGGGAGGTTGCTCAAATATTCGAAGGGCCCAAAATATATGAAAGCAAGGTTGATTTGGTCCTAACAGCTTCACCTGTTGGCTGCGCAGTGTTATATTTTCTGTGAGAGGACCGCTGGCCTCACGCGACGATGGAGTGCCTTGTGCCTGCCTCTTGGGAGCATTAACGAGCCGACTGAAGGAACACGCTTTTTTGTAAGAAGAAGCGGCGATCATGGCCGATGCCGCCGAGAGTGGGAAATCCGAACAGGATGATGTCTCGTTTCTACGAACGGTAAGGCTGCACTTACATAGCTCGCATACACTGTGTTTCAGAACCGCCAGTTCTGCTTGGATGTGAGGAGATACACCTCCTCAGGGGGGCTATATGTCACCTTGGCGCTGCTCGAATAACCCTGGGGTTGCAGTGTTGAGTTATGAGTGAACGCGCTTCGTATTAATGCTGGTTATAGACCAAATATGACAGTTCTTAGCTGATAGTAATGATTATGATGTATTTCTCATAGCTTTATGGACCGGTAAATATCCTATAATTACCGTTTATTTAGCTGTAGGCTTGAAAAAAGGTTTCGGAACGTGTGATAAATTGGAAAGCGTTGGAGGGGGGGGGGGGGGGAGCGTAGGCGTAGGTATTAATTAATGCGCAAAATGTTAGGGGTGCGACTTCTATAGACTTTAAAGAGGGGGGTTATAATGCATGCACGAGCGTGCACACACACACACACACACACACACACACACAACAACAACTCAAATACGTTGTACACTTACAAGCATATAATTATATATATGACATTAGTATCCTGTATTCAAAAATTCATTTAATTAAATAACCTGTTAATCACAAGGGAAATAGAAAGGGTTGTTATATGCAGTCATATTAAGGTCATTAAGACATCATACCAGCTGGGTTAGTCCAACTCTGCGGGGGATTCTCATACAAGTGCAATCAGTGGGATCATCTTAATTGTCTGACATGCCTCCTCAAGCAGCTAGGGGGTAATTAACTTCTGTATGTGTTCGACATAATTACCCCCCCCCCCTCCCACCTGCTCATGGAGGCGTGTCTAAAAACAAAGCTGATCCCACTTATTGAACTTCAACACCCTATTTCCATAGATTAGATTGACCTACTTTAGATCGACCTAACTCCCTGGGGGTTCACGCTAAATAGCTGTCAGCCGGGCGGACACGAAAGTTAATTAATCCCTTACAGCTTGTAGTAGGCGGGACGGACATTTAAGTCGGATTATCTGAAAGTAATCTAGTGAGACTCCCCGCGGGGATAGATCGATCTAAAATCTATGGGAATAGAGCCCAAGAGAATCCTTTGCTGAGTTTGACCGACCCAGCTAGTACAATGTTTGAATCTGAATGCCCCCCTTAGAAGCATTGTTGTGTGTGCATAATGCTTTGGTGCTAGTAATTTGTGACAGATCTTTTGGAATGCCTGGTTGGACTTGTAGATAAAGGCACTACACATGGTCTTTATTGTGAGATATAGACATCAAAAACTGGAAAAAATGTTCATATCGTTCCATTGCACTGTGTTATCAATTATATGTAAGCTGAGGTGGGGAGCAATTTTCCATCCCCATATGTCCTGCATATTATATTATATTATATTGGCTTTGTGTATTTTACAAAATATAAGTGAATAAATAAACAAATAATGAATAGATAATAATAAAAATAGGACTTAGAAAAATTACCAAATGCTTTTAGGAGAGGATTGATTGCAATACCCTTGTACAATCTATAAACTGGGGACAGCTTACAATAGAAGGATGGCATTATGGAAAACTGCCTGCTTCTTATAGGTAGAACAGTTTGGTGGAACTTTAAACCATTTTTTTTAGAATTTTGATGTTGCATGTCCATCAGACTATGTCTCTGCAGATAATACAATATATTTCATGAATCATACCTGTTGTGGATTATGTCTGTCTTGGTTTCTCTAAATATTTACTTAACTTGAGTACTGCCTCAACACTCTGAATATGATTAGAAGTATAATGGCAGTGATAAGAGGGCTAATTCAGCTCAAATGGAGAACTGTCACAGTTTTAAGTGTAATTGAATTCACAATACAGTAACTTATGAGTGCATATACTAATTTAGCTAGGTTATAGCATAGTATAATGCAATACATAAACATTAACAACAAAAATATATATTTCTTTTTTTTAAATAGAAAATTAAAGATGAGATTTGTTGTTACTGGTATGTGTAGAAATAAGCATACAATCAGTTGTGCAACAAAAAGAATCGCTTGCTTTTGATTCTTGGTCCACCACCCTTTAATCATTGATACACATTAAAAGCAGCGAGTCTGAGCACAACTTGTTTAATAAGGGACTAGGGCTTTGTTAAAACTAGCTCTTGCTGGTAAGATTTTAAAGTTCAGCAGCTGGAAAATAGTTACTTGATATTATTTTCTTCCTCTGACATTTTACCTGTCAACATGGTTGCTGATAATTTGAGTTTTAATAGCAGCTTGGGCAATGTAGCCTGTTATATTTATCTTAACCAAGGCTTACAAATACGTTGGCATGAATGTGTGTGTGTGTGTGTGTGTGTGTGTGTGTGTGATAAAACATATGCCTAAATCTTCTTGGGATAATGCCCTGTACAGAAAGCAATATGTTTGCTGCTCACTGATTTATGTATGGCCTTTACTGGAATCTTGTTCTCACACATAGAAAGGGTATACAGTTATTTTTAATATTCCTTACATAAAACACTTTTTTCTTACCGTCCTTTTTTTCTTTTTTGTTTTACAAAACCACTGCAGAGTATTTAAAATGGAGGGGGTGGGTGGGGTGGGGGAGAAGGAGGAAGAGGTGTTTAGGGACAGATCGGGACAGGCTGACGCCATTTTCTTTGGTGTAGTTTGGCAGGACTTGAAAGAAGGCCTGATTTATTTCGATGTCTGTATCTATTTCATTGCTTCTGTACAACAGCAAAGTTGCAATTCTGTATAGAAGCAGAGTTGCAAATATACCATTACTAAAAATGCGTACATCTATTGTTAAACATGTTATCAGTAGTACAGTAACACCTGAAACCTGAAATCAATACTTAATTTGAAAAGTGTGTAGAATAGACTTCAGTGCATAGGTATGGCAAACGTGAAGCTATCAAGATGGGGATATATGATTACTTGGTAATTAAATCTGTTTAATTTGAAAAGTGCATTAATATTGAACATACAGAATATGAAAGTTAAAACCTTTTAGAAGTCGGAAAATGTTGAGATGGATGGATTTATGAGATTGGTATTTATTCTGTTGGTGTTAAGTTTGTTGAGCAAATAGATAACTGATGACACATATAATGAAATAAAGGTGTACTAATGGAACTCATGGGTATTTAAAGCAATACAAACATCAGACAAATGTGAGCAAGCAATATATGCAGGTGAATCTTATCTGTTTAATTAGTTATAAAAGAGCCATTGCATCAGTTTGCTGTGGCAAAGAAGGTAAATTGATAATCTTATATTAGCTGTTGATATTGGTGAGAGATTTATATTATGCTTTCACAGATTGATAAAACTGATGACAGTTTGCTATTAAAAACTGGTGAAAGTGGGTTGAGTTGGTTTCTTTCTATTTGTTTTGCCTCTTGTGATTGGTGTTCATAAGATTCTGCTGTCTCTGTGAGGACTTGAGTTTATGCACCAATTTCATTGCCAATTCAGCATCCTCAGTGTGAATAAAATAAAAAGAATATCTGTCTGTAACTAAAAATTTAACCACATTTGGGCATACTCCCTGAATAATAAAAATTGATAAATAACACTTGTATAGATCTAGTATTTTGCAAAAGGGGCACAGGATATAGAACTTTAAAACAGTTTCCAGGAAAAATTTTACTAGGTTTTGTCTTTGTCTGCTTTTTTGGGTGAGAGAAGGGAGTATTTCAAAGGGGGGGCATTAACCCCCTATGCCCTTTGCTGCATCTGTCATTGGATAAAAATGAAATCCTTATTTTGTCCTTCTTTAACTAAATTAGAATATTAAAGCATTTGGCTGAAATTTACCCTGCAAGACTGAGTGCAGCACAGGTAAAAAGGATTGACTCAGACCCCAGCACATGCCTAGAGCATGAAACTGATCTCAATAAAACATACACTGTACAGGCTCTAAGCATATGCCTTAAACCCATGTCAGTGGTGCCCTGAGTTTCACTGGCCACTGGAAACTGACCTCTATATTCAGCATGCCTCTGTAATTTCCTGTTATCTCTAAGGGCTCATTCCCAATAAAACTATCATTCTATGTACATTGATTCAACTCTGTCAGGACTGGCTGAGTGCAATCAGTTCATTGGTCAATCTGTTCATCTCATTGCATTCAGCAAGAGTCTATCTATATTACTTATCTATATGTCTATATTACTTATTTCTATCCACCAACAGTAGTTGTTGTTTATAGAGATGAAATAAACTGACATACTGTATTTGTCCTCATTTGCACCTGGGAACCCAATTCATTAGTGGCAACTTAGATAGTTCAGTTCAGCAGATAATTCAATTGATTTCTAGTCAAATACAAAGAAACAGCCAGCACCTGTTTGATAAAACCCATTTTTGAGATATCTTCAGGAAGTGGATCGCAGGCAGATCTTGGTAATGCTTGATAGCCCAACCCTGAGTAACAGAGGTCAGTGATATGTCTCCTCTGTTATCAGTTTGCCTCTTCATTTCCAGTATCCGGCTTAGGCATGCTGGTAATAGATGAAAATCTCTAGGAGCAGAACATTGCAGACTGCTATAGTGCCAAGACAGTGTATGAAGATACATTTCCCCTGCCTCCCTCCAAATCCTGTGTAATCTCCCTTTATTTTTCACAAAGTCATGAGACTTTGGGCTCTTCCTGGTGATTACTATTAAACTGCTGGGAGAAAGGCTTAAACCAAGAAGGGTTGATTTATCTTCAATGGGAATTTGCCTTCAATTAATTTTTTTTTTACCAATAAGGGTTCAGTTTAAAATGAGACACAGCAAGATTCACCAGAAGAATAGAAAAGTAGATCATTACAGATAAAGCCCCTGCCACAAAACTGTATTCCAGATTATTATCTTACTTTTGTTTTGTTAAGATACCCTCCCCCCCCCCCCCCCCCCAAAAAAAAAAAAGTTGCGTCTTTTTTAGGATGATTCTAGCCTTGTAAATTTTATCAAAACGATAAAGCAATTTTAACTGCCAAATATTTTTCATTTTTTGCCGTGCTATTATTATTATTATTATTATTATTATTATTATTATT